TGTTCTAAACAACCCATTAGAATCCCTGAAACTGTAGATGTATGATTTCTGTCAATCGGAACACATTTTGCATTTTAGTTTGTTTACCTGGCTCAGCAGGACTCCCAGGCGAATCAGTTGTTTAGAACATCTCCTCAAAATAGCTTCCTCAAGATGGAACCTCAGATAATGGAAAGAAGCCAGCTGCTTCTATATATACCTAGGAGAAGCAAGGAAAATATGATATCTTACTATTCAGTTAAAACTCTCAGAGTTTGATGGCACAACGAAGGTGTTGTGGTAGGAAAATGGTCTATTGCTTGAGCATAATGCTTTCACTACTTTGCCTGGAGTTTCAGAGCAAACAAAAAGAATCAGCTCATGATAGTGGTACTAAGCTGACTCTTTTTGCAATTGCCAAATCTCGTCCAATGTCTCTGACGTAAGGCTGCGTACTTTCAACAAATTCCCCCGAGACAATCACTGTTCCCAACTTCCCAATGTTCTGATAACCGTTCAGAAAAAACGAAACCGCCTATTCAAATAGCATAATAGGAAAGAAGATAGAAGGAACTTGATTATCAGAATCCGCCATGTCTGACCTGATTTTCAGTATAAATGAGCTGGGAAGGTCTCGTTGATTATGGTCAATTATGCTGTTTTCATATATAATTCTATTGTTTCCTCTGATAATTGAATCGAAGGTATACATTCCAATTGACTTTTCCCATTTCTCAGTTGAATTACTCCAAGTTTTCTGTTTATTTCAGCGTCGTTTACGTTTATCAGATGTTTGTGAAGAGTATCTGAGATGCTCTGATGAGTTAGAGGTTTTTGAGAAAACCTGTAACCGAAACGTTCAGTCGAGGGTATCTTTCGTTGGACAGCATGACAAGGTATATTCATCTCAGAAGGTCAGATCAAACACTTTGTATAGACTTTGTCTATGATGATGGAAATGGAAAACTCTAAATGTCACAACAAACTCAAAGAAGAGTATAGTTCTTTGGAGGATATTCTTCTGAAAAATCATCAGGAAACTCTTATGTGTGTGAGAGACTCTGTGAAAACGAACAATCATTTCAAATTTGGAAAAGAAAAAACGAAATTCTGTTCTCCATACATGGTGGCATTAGAATATCGATCGATCTCTAATGATAATGATTGTCGTCTCTTTGCTATGAGAATGGAAAACAGATGTACAGCGCTCAGACAGTGTTGTGAACCCGCTGTCAGGTACTTATTGAAGTTCAAATGAGAAGCTAAACAACTTTTAGGTGCGAACAAGCTTCTTCATACAGCCAGACAGGCCGGCAGATTGAAGGATTACGGGAGGAAATATCCATCAAGTTGGCTGACTGTAGACATCGGGACACCAATTTCAACTTCTTGAACACCAAGAAAGGAAATGAGTTGTCAGATTTCGATAACTTGAACGACTTGGTTGTGAGTTTTACTTTCATCTTAGAAATTCTAACAACTTGCCCTATAGCCACCTATCTCGTATTGTCAAAGGTATTTGGATTGTCAGAAAAACACTCTGGAAATACGTAATCGCTGTTCGCTCTTGCTCAAAACAGCCAAATCGGGAAAACTTTACGTAAGTCAAAAGTGCATCTTGACATTAAGAACATGATCTACAGTCTTGGTCACCGATGTATCAAAATGTTCCAAGAGGGTTGGATGAGAAAGACTCTTACTGTCGGCGGAAGTATTCCGCCGAATTCAATGAACTGATGGCAAAGCGTGTTCGAACGGACGAATATCTGAATGCTTGTGTGCCTATTGCTAATGTTACACGAGAAGTGGCGGAAAAAGTAAAATAACGGTATAGTTTGACTAACTGCGGAAATTTTCAGCAGCAGCCTTGTCAACCAAACGAACTAGTCAGTTTAAAAATGGATCTCGACGAGATCACAGGAGAAACCTGTGCATTCCACATTGGTTTCCACAAGAAGCAATGTTCATTGCTCCGAGATTGCTGCGTACAAGCTGATATGTGAGTTACTGAACTTCTTGTCTTAATCAGGCTTTCTCACTTGAAGATGTGAGAGGAATGCCATGTATGGAGTGTTGGCCGATGATTACCTGCTGTCACAAACGGAATTGAAAATGAAAATGGATAAGTGCTATCATAATTGATACTGTTTTAATAATTAATAATAATAAATACATTTCAAAATTGCATTCTTGGCTGAACTAACATGGGCATCGACTTCTGTTTTTTCCGAAGTTTAGGAGGTGAAGAGAAGACGTAGGAACGAACGGGGATCTGAAGAAGAATATGTCATTGCTTCGAGTCAAGCGATAATAAAAGAGCCTACAGCTTGTACAACGATTGGCTGGGTAGTCGAAGTATTGATATGGGATTGTATGTGAGCACTGTGTGAGATCTGAAAATCAAACCAATTCAAGCGTTCTTGAGTTTTATCTCACCTCACAAATGTTTTGAGGTTTATCTGAATGATCGAACCAATTGGTCAAATTCTGAGTGGCTTCTTTGCGGGCCCTGTAAGATCAACGATGTCCCTTTCAAGAATAATCTGACCTACTCGAACAGCTTCACATTCATTTTTTCTTTTTTGAGCTTCTTCGCCATATCCAAGACACAATTGGTATGTTGGACACCGTTTTCACATTGTGCGTGCTCAAGTTTCAATGAATTCCTGAGCTTCTCAAGGAATTCATCCGTCAATTCGAATCCTTTCGAAGCCAAAAAGTCTAAATCTAAGTGCTCTTCCTCGATCGTTCCAAGAAAATTTGGATGTGACTGTGATAATGATATTCCCCTCTTCTGTTTCTCCAACCGATAACGATGCTTCTCAACTGTTGCTGATTTCGGACGAACTAAACGAACTCTTTTCGTTTTACTTTGATCATCAAGGTTCTCCGGAACCGTGCGTTCTTCATCTTCTGTGAACGACATGATCCTAACTCTGTGATTCGAAGTTGTTTTTGGACGAGCAGAAGCGCTCTTCAAGATATGTTTGGATGATGGAGAGTCTGTATTCTTCAAGTCTTTTGACAGCTCTCTTTTCAAACGGGTAGAATCAGTATCTTGGCCTTGGATAACAACTCCTGCAGTTTTTTCTTCTTCCGAATCTGAGTCGGAAGCTAATGGCGGAGGTTGTGAATAATCTTTCATAACACCATCATCATAAGGTGGAGGTGGAAGAGCAGGGGGTGATTTTGGTTTCATTCCCATGTCCAGAGCATCAATGATTTCTGATGTAATGGAAATCCTCGGCTGTGTGTTGTTATAGACTTCGGATTTTTTACGTTCGTGTTCCATCTCATCAGAGTTTTCTTCGTAAATGGTCGATATCCTATAAGAAAGCAAGAATGAGGATCATGACAGCAACCAACCTCTCTTTATACGGGAAAGTATGGAAAGATGGGTCAGTTAGAGCAAATTCCTCTTCCTCAAATTCGCTGTCGGCATCGTTCATTTCATCATTTTCGTCATCATCTTCGCTTGTCATGTTCTGAGATGGAGCAAGATCTTGGATTGTGAAGGAAGAATAGAATTACCGGGAAGCTTTCATTTCTCCGCATGTGTCGCAAACCTTCCAATATGTCCTTCGTCGTAACTTCAATGGATATTATACTTTCTTGTAATTCTTTAATGTTTCTTGGCTACAAAAAGATTTCTAAACTTACTTCTTTTCATACAATTTTTGAGTAATTTTATGAGATTGTCAATACGTTCATCGAGGTTTTCCGTCTGAAGTCAGATGGCTATGAGTATGAATGGAAAGTGCTGTCCTTCACCTTCGTTATCACCCCCTTGTTTACTATTCTTGTGAGATTCTTGATTAAATTCTCTGCAGAGTTGAGAAGAAAGTCGATGTCGGAAGTTTTCTCTTCGGATATTTCTTGCTCAAATGAATTATTCAATATGATTCACAACAAGCTAACTTACAGAATTTCGAGATGAAGGATAGCGACTCTCGCCTTCTACTTCTATAAAAATCTGAATCAGCCATCAACTCTCTCTATCCCGTCTACCTGTCTGAACAGATTTCTCCACTCCCTTTTCCCTCTTTTCCAAATCCAATGAAATCAGTTGAAGAAAGGGAGTTAAGCTAGGAATGAGCCAATGACGACTCATCTGCAATTCACGAACGGTTTCACAAGCTCATCTCCGTAATCTTCCTACTTGAGCCTTTGAAAATTCGTCTTTCAAGTCTTTGATTGAACTATTCAGCATTGAACTCCGGATCTTCGGGCTGTTCAAGATCAAATCCTATAATTTCAGTTTTCTTATTCAGAACTTATGGATTCAATGTACTCCTTGTTCTCGACTCCAATCAGTAAAAACAGAGCAAGCTCTAATACAATCCTTGCTTATGGACGAACAATCCTTGATGACGGGTAGTATCACCTCCAATTCTGAGGCCAAAGACTTGAAAAGGAGAAGAGGTTGGATATAGAATGAGGAAGAGAAATGCTCACGGAAATGCTTTCCTTCTTCTGATCTTCCAGAAGACTTTTCAATCGACTACGCTGTAGGGTGTTATAGCCAAGCTTTTCGAGATAGCTGTCACATTCAGCTGCGATCTCCTTCAAAGCAGATGCCGATTAATAGAGGAAGGAACAAGTGCTTACCATCATTTTACTAGAGAAGTTATCATCTAACGTTCTATAGATGTTAGAGAACACATCGCTGTAGTCTCTCGTTGGGTGGGAAAGAGTTCTGAAAAGCCAAAAATTCAGAATTCGAAAGAGAAACAGACCGATTATTGAAGCTATGAAGCTTTGTCGCCAGGATTTTCATGAAAGCTCTGTACATATCAAGTTCGAAACAACGATTCTCATCCTGCCGATTGTTCGGTATCTTAGGAAATTCCTTTAAAAGGCGATGAAGAGAGAACATGCAGATACTTACCTCCAAACGAGTGTTCATCGAGGTGAAGTCCATGTTAGAGTAGGTTACATCGTCTTCTTGTAATCTCTTCGTTAGCAAGAGAATCTTCAATTCTACTTTCATTTCTACATGCTATTCTAAAGCGAAAACCTCTTCATCTTTTCTCGCTATCTCAGCTTGCAAGCGGATGACCCTCTGTAGGAGATTATTTCCGACAGATGCATTTCTCGTTGAGGAGACTATCTCAACTGAAGAAGAATACAAATTTAAAATGAAAGGGAGAGTAACGTACTACTAGCGTTTTCATTCTGTGGACTGTGAGCATTCGAGTAGTTATCAAGAGATCCTCGTGAAGATGCTCCTTCTGAATGAAAGAAATCGTAAACAGGTGTGAGTAGAAGGAGTGAAAACCTCGATTGTACTGAAATCGTTTGGAGTTTGATCGCACTCTCTGTCGACTCTCTAATACTCGAGCAGACGATTGTTGGGGAACAATCTGTTTCTGAATGATATATAGTACATTGAGTATAAGCTCATAACTTACCCCAACAACCGGTAGTATGGCAGTATCAGCTGATTGATTGAATCGCGAGTCAATCTATATAAACAGCATAGTTAACATGAGCAAAGTTCGAAAGGAACATTACGCTTTTAGAAAATATCTGATTATTTTCGAAAATTAAAGGTTGTGACATTCCAAATTGTAACAAATCACCCGTGGTTAATTGGACCTTTAAAGAAAGTAATGAGTAAGAGTGTATAGATTGAGGAGAGGGAAAAGAAAAAGAGAATTGAAGATGAAGTGAGGGAGGAGAAGGACCTTACCTGTCCTAACACTGGAATACCATTAACTTTCGTTTCTGAAACTAAGGATAAGTCTTTGATCCAGAAACTGTTAGTTAATGAATGAAACTCAATGATTGCATGTGTTGGAGCAACACCATCAGACTGTAAGCATGTTGTATGTTGAAGAGAATGAATGAACATGAACTTCACTTGTATAATGATATCACAGTTTGAATTACTTCCTATCGTCTTATGTTGTCCTAAAGTCAAACTATCGAGATCTTTCGAGCTATATCTACGTAACATTCTCCTTAAATATTCTTTTTTTCATTATAATATTATATTAAGACGAAGGAATGGAAATTGAAAACGAAAATGGAAATGTTTCAGATGAATCTTCGTTTCGTTCAGTTTGCTTCATCTGACTCTTGATGAACAAGCATTTCGGGCTTCGTCTTTCGCTCACATTGCTGACTGGAAGAAGTAGAGGGAGGGAGGTGAGAGAGAAAAAGCAAAAAAACGGATTTGAATCATTCTATATGGGATTATCAATGGGAATAAGCTGCTTGAAGTAATAACATTTCCATAGCAACTCCTCTCTCTCCCCTCTCTCCTCTCTCTCTCTCTCTCATTCACTCTCTCAAGGACATACACATGCTCCGTTCCCTTTTTTATATTTCATATGTGTATATAGTTAAGAAGATATTAGTTTATAACAAAAGGATAAGAAGATAATGAATGAATGAGAAGTAGTACTTCCATCCATCTACATTGACTTTCGAAAATAAAATATATTTCGTTGTGGTTAGAACAAAGCAATTTCAATATAGAGGGGGGAATGTAGAGATAGAGAGAGAAAGAGAAAGAGAGAGAGAGTGGTGATTATAGATTCGATCTCTCATTCTATCTCTGTCTATATAAGGTAAGGAACAAAGCGACAGCTTCTTAATTATGTCAAATCCCTAGGTAACCAGAGAGAGGACAGCTCATATCTCTAACACAATAAGCTTGTAAAACAAAATTAAAAAGCAAATATTACTAGTATTTACAAGTAAATGTAATTTTAAAATATTTTCATGTTGACGATGTGTATGTGACATTCGCTTGTTCCATGGCTACAACTGGGTTCTTGGTGATTGGGCCAACGGGTTGTTGACTTAAAACATCTGCGATGAGAGAAGTATGAAACCTCTATCACTAACCTCTTCTTCATGTAATGATGAAGTCGTTTGAATAAATAGGCTATTAGTAAGAATATAAGGGCATAGATTATGACTTGAGTGATCTCGAAGTTGATAGACATCATGTAGGGAAAGGAGAAACCTTCAATAGTTGTATGAATGTAAGCATAGAAGATGAGATGAGCATACCGACAGGTGAGATGGTTTCAACTTCAATTAGAACCTCTTCTGATTCTTCAGACAGATCCGAATAGATATCAGGAGGGGATATGTGCTCAACATCTCGTGAGACAAGCTATAATGACCTATACTAACCATATGATATATTATATTAGAAGACATACAGGTAGAATGAGCGTCTGAATGTTATTCATATTCGTCATTTGCTCTTCTGAACTGACAGATGAAGATGAGTTCTTGTTCTCCATTTCATCGAACATATTTTTCATTCGTTCTTTCCTTGTATCATTATAGGAATGAATGAGATGGTCAGTTTTCGTTGAAACATTTCCATCATCCTTTTTACTGATTGGAATTAGTTGATGACGTGAATTTTCCTCATTTTCTTCTTCTGAAGACGACGACGACGAAGAAGAAGAAGAAGAAGATGAGATGGAGGAGGCGGAGGAGGAGGAGGTCGATTCATTCTGAAAATAAACTTCTTTTCCTCATTTGACGTTCAAACAAACTTTATTGGAATCTCTTTTGACAATTATATTTTTGGCATCAACACATTCTATAAATAGAAGAGCATGATGAAGAAGAAGAGATGAAGAAGGAAAGCAAAGAGATGAAGCCTACCTTTCACTAAAATTAAAAATAAAACGGAAGCAGCCAACTTCAAAACCATATTTCAAGAAATGATCGTTCTCTCATCCAACTTTTTACTTTAAAATATTCCATTGTTGCTCGTTAAAAAAGGATTTAAAACATCCTATTTTCAATGAAAATTATCTGTTTAATCCCCCCGATTTATGATTGTTTTCATTCATCACCTGGTTTTTGACATGTTTTCGACTGTCCACACCATCCCTCAACCCCCTCTCTCTCTCTCTCTCTCTTACTATACGTAAGGTCAATCTAATCTTAACACGCACTCTCTGTTACATACTAGGCATGTTAACACAAGGATGTGTTTCTTAGTTTAGTTTGATAGTACATCCAAATACATGTCTTTGAGCTTCACAAGGAAGTGTTCCAATGTATGTGCACAACCGCTCCACACATCATTCCAAATGGAAAATGATTTTATAAGTATTAGCGGACCCGACCGCTAACAATAGAATGAACCATGAAATGATTTAATGTACATGTCAACACGATCGCTTTAAAGCTCTTAAGACGATCTGGAATGAAAGTGTAATAGACTTTCATTCTAATTAACGAGCTACGTGTTAGAGCGGTTGTGTCTGCTCTTGCTGCAAACGACGTACACGTAGTTTCAATTGAATTCTGACTTCACATAGCTGCTATCTCGTGAAGAATCCCCTGTGAAGCCATCGTTTTTCTATCTTATTTACTGAAATTGAGATCATTTGAACATTCCATGTCCATTTTCGCCATTTCTTAGTTTGCATAAGACGAATGTGTTTATACCGTTTGAGCATTAAGTTGAACGAAAAACTTTTCATTTTTTATTAGTTTTGTTCTTCTTTCGTTTTGAGAAACAGTAGAAGGAGACTGTTCCTTCAAGGGATTTTCCTTCCCTTCTTACTGTCAACCCCCAGCCTTTCCTTCCCTTCTTTCATTCTCTCTCTCTCCCTCCCTCCCTCATTCTCTCTCTCTTCGTCTTTCATTTTCAAAATATATTATCCAAATGAGCTGAACCATCACAATTTTCATGGAACTTTTAATTGACTTCCATGCTGAGCAAGGATATGAGGTGCAAAGAGGTACCGATGAGACCAAACAGGGCTGTAGAAAGAGCGATTGAGAGTAAGAGAGAGGGACAAAGAGAGAGAGGACAGGATATAGAGAGAAACGAAAAAGAAAATAAAATATTTCCTTTTATTTAATTATTCAATTTTAAACTTTCCACTTTTTGTCAATATTTTCATCTGCGATAGAAACACCCATTAGAGAGGGTGAGAGGAAGAAATTAATTTTTTCCAACGAGACTCTCCAAATGACCGAAATGAAGTTGAATCTGGTGAACTTCAAAGGGCAATGTGACGTCATTTCACATGTGTGTGTGTAGATGACAGAAATACGATTTCATCATCATCCTATGAACAAAACCAGAAATCCTTTTTTTCCCTCGGTAACACTGATTTCGATGATTCCGAGAAAGAGAGAGATAGTGGGAGAGAGATAAAGAGTTGTTGAGGAGAGTATAAAAGGATTTTGAAAGTTTTCAGGTGCTTGTTGAAAGAGATCAAAAGGGAATCCGAATTGTAGTGAAGAAGGGACAAACAACATTGAATCCGAAAAAGATCTGCTGGTCGTCAACTGAGTTTTCTTCTTTCCAGGGCCCAACAAGACTTCATATTATGTGTTATCACTAGTATACATCATGAAGGAGAAGCTTAGCCCTTCCGAAGGATATTTGTTCGAACAAATCATTTCAACAGCTATTTACAATGAAAAAGCAGTTCTGAGCAAAGGGAAATATGATTCTCCTTCATTTTTACAAAGAAAATAACGTTTTTCCTTTCATTCTCATAGGTTTACGTAGTCAGTCATTGCTTTTTATGGCAATTTTTCATTTTTTTTTGTTTCCAAATACGGGGTGGGAAAGGAGAGAAGGAGAGACAACGCCTGTGAGGGAATGGTGTAGAGGGAAGTGGAGACTGGGAGAGGTTGAGGCTGAGAAGAAGCCTCACGTGTTTATCTACCTTTTACCATATTTCTCTCATAATTACATATGAAAATGAGTGAAACAAAACAAAAAATAAAACTTTCATTAATTTTCGACTCCAAACATTCTCCTTCTCCAGTACATCTATGGTCACTCTCTCATTAGTATACACTGTCTCATCGCAGCTATAAGCTTACACAAAAAATAAAAAAAATGTTTTTATTCACAACAATATTATAATAAAAAAGTATAATAATAACGAATGTTAATAATCAGAGAGTGAGAGGGAGGGAGGGAGAGAGAGAGAGAGAGGGAGAGAGAGAGAGATGATGACGTTGCTTATGAACGAAGGACATCTGAATATTCCCGTCCATTGGCAGGTGAAATTCCGATGTAAAGGTTCCAATTGCTTCCCATCTATCATTCATAACTCTCAAGCAACTTTTGTGTGAAAAAATTCTTTCAGAAACTAAAAGAGGCGAACAAGGAAGAGAAAGAAAAGGAAGAGAGAGAGAGAGACACAGGGAAAGTGATGATGAAGCTGAAAGTACGAAAAGTTTTATATCGTCGTGCTGTTAATGAAAAGAAAGTTTTGGAGAAAGAAGAAAATAATCTTTGGGAAGGATGAAGCTGCTTACGAGTGTTCCGCTGCTCTCTTCTTCCATCCTACTATCAGAAGTGAAGGAATAACATGCAATGAATGGACTGTGACTGATGGAACTATCGATAACTATATCTCTGACGATCATAGCTTGTAGCTTAAAGATTGATGGACCGTATTCCACCCTCTGATTTAAATATTAAGAGATCGTTGAACATTTAATTAATTTATTCTCTTTTTGTATTCTTTTTTCATCTTCACATCTCACCCACTCTCTGATTGACTTTTATATAAATATTTCATTAAAATAATACGCATCCTTCATCCTCCCTCTCTTCCTTCTCATAACTCTCTCTCAGTCATTCTCTTCCTCTTCTTACTTTAACGTGTTTGTCTCTCTTCTTCCCTCCCTCTAACACGTTTCTCTCGTTATCGTTCACCTTTCAATAGCAGTAGATGAAGTTGAACAGACAAAGTCTTCTTCAATCTCGTTATGCAGTCGGTCATTGCCCTCCCTTTGTTTCTGCAGCAGCAGCAGCAGCAGCAGGATGAACTGTTCCCTCTCACTTTTTATCTCCTTTAAGCTTACTTTTTTTCTCCTTATTCTTTGTTACTCTTTTGCTTCTCATCTTTGTGCTTCATCTCCTCCTTCTTCTCCTTTTCCAGTTTCTTCCTAAATGCTCCTCCTCTTTCATTTATTGTCCGCACACATCCAGCCCCACCATATCTTTTCAATTTCTTTCCCTTCCCCCTCTTCATATTTCCTCGTTTCGTATGAAGACGTCTCTCTTCTATTTTTCATTTCTCAGCAAATTTTTGTATTCGAACGAATGACAGATCCAAAAAAAGATTTTCATTTGCCACAAAACGATACATCCAATTTCTCTCTCTCTCTCAAGTACGTTCTTTGAATAGTAACTTCTGTCTGTCGCATTACTTCTCTCCAGTTACTTCAGTGGTTTATTTGAGAGGTTGTAGATAGTTCGAATATCGAAGCTCTCCTTTTACTGTTTTTCATCGAGTCAGTCGCTATGCGTAGGGTGTAGCGAGAAGGAAGCGACTTCGTTCAAAGCTTAAGCTTCTCCTTCAGCTGCGTACCAGCTCAAAAAAAATTTTCTTTAAACAATTATTATAATTGAAAACTCTTTTTTTTTGTCAAAAATAAACATTCGTCTCTCTCTGTGTGTCTGTATCTCTCCAAGTTTCTCTCTATAATTCCAAATGACTACGATCGGCCGATATGAAAGCACCGCCCCCATTCATATTTTGCAAGAGTTGACATTCGACATGACAAGTTGGTAACATTCACAGCCGCTGTATCCATTAAGACCTGAGATTTGAAATTAAGAAGAAATTTTAAATTTCATTTGGCCTTTCCTCGTTCTGTGAGCTTTCCTTCTTGTCGAGCTTCTCCTTCTCCTCCCACTCCTCAAACGGTGAATAAAATTTTTTCCATTTCTCACATGTAAGTCTACGAGAGTAGTGTGGCTCCGCTTCAATCTCTCTCCTCTCTCTATGACTTTAGCTTTTCCTATTTTCTTTTTTTTCTTAGATGAAACTGAAAGTCATTCTCTGATATTTCAGAACCATGAAGTGTCTGGTTCTTCTAGGGTTATGTCTGCTTTGTTTGATCTCATCGACGGTCGCGGATTATGAGTGAGTTTTCAGCTTTTGACTTTAAAACATTATTTTTGTAATTTGATTGTAATTGGATGTGTGAACATGTGCTTTGCTGCTTTCTCAAAACAATGAAAGCAAATGAAGTTTCGAATGTTAACAAGTGACGAATTAGGAGGATGATGAAGCCCTTAATGGCTTCTCCCTAGAAATTACTTTCTCGAAGCATATCCATGCCCTACTCCCCCCATCCTCAGAATGAACCCACCACCCTCTCCCACCTTCTTTCTGCTTATATATTCAATGAAGATGAATAGGTGTGAGTTTAACATACATCTTGGCTTTCATTGATATCGTTTGGAATGAATTATTCATCTGCGACCCTCTTCACATGTCTTCATCTATTCCTCTTCCTCTGGATGAAGCATTTACATTCCCACCCCCTCGATGGATTTGTTTTCATTTGCCTTTAAGTAGAAAAAAGAAAACTTTGGTTGCACCTAACCTAACTCCTGCTAAGGACATGACGATGTGTGTTTTTCTAACAAAGCTGATCATTTCACCTTTGTGATGCCGAGACTGCTCTTGAACAACATGATGCAACGTCCGGCGGCCGCTCCTCCCTCTCCCCGTCTCCCACTCATTTTCAGAGCCGAAAAAAGAAAGAAAGAAAGAAAGAAATGTAAAACAGTGTGTATGTGTCTCTCTCTCTCTCTCTCTCTCTCTCTCTCTCTCTCTCTCTCTCTCTGTCTATGTGTGTGTACATGAAAGAGAATAACTAAAAGGTATTTTAGATCATCTGTTATCCGAACGCCAACAAAGCGTCGAATGCTTTTTCGTGTGCCATTCATGATGAATCCAGATAATGAGCAATTGTCTCGCATCTTCCGCCAGGTAAACCTTTCTATTTTCATCGTTCAAATAGAAAAAAAGTAAAATTAAATATAAGTAATTATTTTTTTTCTTTCAAACAAAGAGAAAAACGAAAATGATTTTTGATTTTTTGAATGCTCACACAGCCGATTATCCAACCGTCCTGATTGAAAATGACGCGTCTACGTGAAAGTTCACGTGAATTTACGTGAGTAATTGAGCGCCGTTATTATTTTTTTAATTTATTTTTCGTTCTTTTATGTTAATTAGTAGTTAAAGTTGAAATTAGATGAAACTGAAGAGGACAGAAACCAACCTCATTCACCTCTCATCTCATCACATCCTCCTTACATCCATTTCCTTGTTTCAGGCTTTTGGAGAACAAAAACAGAAAAAACTCAGCGCATTCTTCGATTATTGAAAATGTTCTTCTCTCAACTCTCTCTCAGCTCTCTCAGATCTCTCTTCATAGCCTTATAAAGATACTTTTACTTCACTCTACTGTATTATGGATTTCATATAGACTCATCTCGCTCATCTTTACTTCAATCGAAGAAATGGTGTTGCTGATTGAAAATCAATCGATACCTATGCTTTGCACATTCAGATTCTGTCCGTTTGATCTCATTTACAGATATCATTCGTCTGTGTTGTATACTTGATCAAATAAAAGTTTTGTTGAGAGCTCATTACTATACACTACACATGGTTGAATATGAATTATTCAAAATATAATAATTAATTGAATAATTATCATATGTGTTCCGATTTGTATACTACAATCTAACTACAAGCCTTCAATATGTTCAAGGGGGTTGTGCCGTATGTGAACAGAGAGGGGTGTGAGACAAGGATGGAGATGGGAAGGAAGGAAAAGCTTCAATTTACGGACGTCATCAAAACTCATTTCCATGGATTCTACATAGAAACCGCCCCGAAAATTATTTTTTGCTCTACTAAATGTCTGGCATAGCAGGTAAAGTTCGTTTACCTAACCCTATACAACTCTTCGTCATGATCAAGTCTTGCATCATCTTTGGTTTGATGTATTTGATTGATAGTACTGTATCGTCAACCTCTCAACAGTTTGGCACGAATCTTCTGAAAGGTTCTTGTTCATCTTACTCCCTCGCATTCTGAATATCGTATTTCAGATGCTATAGAGGCTGGCTCTACATCTCTAGCCAATGCAAATGCTTCAGATTTGACTAATGAACCATCAGACGGTACCACACCCTCTGATAGCTCATCAACGGAAGAGTATATCTTGACATCATCCGACAACCCAAATGATTCCGATGATCCACAACCTACTGGATCTAATGAATTCAGAGAAATCAACCCACTGACAACAAAACACAAGACAATCTTCTTCATTAGTGCAGGTTATTGCGGATTTCTAGTTCTTATGTTTCAAAATGTATTTCAGCTACAACGTTCTTCATTTTGATCTGCTCAGCTTGTATCAGCAACTTGTGTGATTACTCGAAGCTGTCAAAACAGAAACTAGCCCGATCACATGCTTAACAGAGAGGGATTGAACGAGAACGTACATGTACATGAGAAGTAATGGAAATATGAAATGATTTATTTGAATATTCGTTAGTTATGGTTTATAATGTCAGGTTCTTATCAGTCATGTCAAAACACCTTTTAAATGAAAAACAATTTCTTTGTTAACAAATGAAGAGAGAGAGAGAGAGAGAGAGAGAGAGAGAGAGAACTCTCTCTATACTTAGAAGAGTGATAACCATTCAATGATTTATAAAATAGAGACGTACTCTTTTAAAATATATGAGAGAGAAAGAAAGAGAATGTCTCCTTAGAAAGTAAATGAGAGGGAGAGAGGGAGAGAGAGAGAGAGAGAGAGAGAGAGTGAAGATATGGAGAACACATGAAAACAATTAGAATATCAAAGATTCTTATGAAAGAAGTAAATGATTGGTTTAGCCTCAACATGTGATGACTTCTCAAGAATCAGCTGTGATGACTTCTTTGCCACTTCCTCCAATAAACAGAACTCGCTTCAACCCCTCAGTTAGCACATCCAAGTAGGACATGTATGAATGAACGAAGTTTATCCGATTTTTTGTTGGGTTGGGAAGGTTTAACAGTATCTGAAGAGTTACGTACCCATATAAGTTAGATGATGATAAGCTTACGAGTTGAGAGTCTGGTGAGTTCTCTCTTATGACTTTGTTTAAATGGAAAGATGTGTTCATCTTATGAACATTGAGCTTCAACTCTGCTCCAGTTGTTTCTTCAATGGAAGGAGATGATCCGTACAATTGGCTCATTGCTCCTTCTTCGCTACTGAAGAGAAATTGCTTTAGAACTACATCGATCAACTAGAAATTGAAACCTGCTAAAGGATGTCTCTTCCTCATTAATGCTTATGACAGTCGGTGTCTTCGAAAAACTCTTTGATGAGTTGCCTAACATTTTGTTTTTAAAATTATTCGAAGGGATCATATTACTTGTATGTAGTTTGGTCTTATTCTCATCAACAAAGGCTTCATTTACATATCCAGCTGATTCTCTCTGCTTTAATCTCTGCGAAACGATTTAGAGAGTATTTTGAGGGAAATGAAGAAACTCTTACCTTCATCTCATTCTGTACCAACGTCTTCTGTCTCTTTTCCAATTCAGCAGTCTTCTCATAAATCTCCTCCGTTACTTCCTGATCTAACAGACTCACAATCTGAACATCCCAAGAAGGAGATACGAACACAACGTTGACAACATACGAATACTTCAGCATCAATACGTAACATGTAAATATGCTTCTGTAAAGCTTGTTTCATATCTTCATTTCGTTTCTTATCCGATCCTCCGACAGCGAAGATACGAAGAAGGCATCCTCTCCATACCTATATAGTTATATATAGTTAACTACATTCTATACTATATGAGCATACTTTATGTTGTTTTAATAAATATGCGATTAACATTAATATTCCTCCATCCTGTACAACCCACCAGATATCAATAAATCTTAATTATATCATATAATAAACATCTATATATAGATCATCATACCCAGTCAATCTATCTGTTGTTTCCGGAAACTCAGTTATTCCCTTCGCCAATAGAATACAGTACTCATGATGTACTCCAGTTATCATTTTCTCTACATCAATATACAAAGTGGATTAACTATACCATATAATATACCAGCGAACAGTGACACTTCATCCATATCCTTGATGTCAGGCCAGTTTATCAAAACGGTGTTTGGACGTAATCCACCTATACCAACAGATTGGAACACTCCTGACACACAACCATATATCTTAATTATATCATATTACTAACCTAGATTTCATTAGTTTATTATGTACCTGGCTCTCCTGATAGAACAACGTTTTGGCAAATCCACGTAGCCGTGATGTTGCCATATCTTTGAGAAGACGTTGCTTGATGGATCCAGACCTAGTACGCTCTTCAGCTGCATTAGCAGAACCTTTAACGAATGCGCAAGCAATGGTCAAGCCTCGACCAGCCTTTAAGTATATCATACGATGAACTTATTCTCAATATCTAGCTACCTTCATCTGAGCTGCCAAGTTCAACATAGACAGTGCTCGTTTGTCTATGATATGGTTACCCCAATGAGCAGACAACGCAATGAGTAGTTGAGGTCTCCAATTCTTTGGATGAGGATCTTTGTCTTCAACCTTAATGGCGCTCATATGATCTACATACGTAATCCATCAGCCACATACTTTTAATAATGAATACTGTGCCGTTGTTAAAGCTAATCCTCTCATTCCATCACCCCATTCCTTCTTGGCTCTTCAACACATAGGTATACTTAACTATAAACAGCCTAACTATACCCCTTCCATTCAACATATTTATAGATTGCTAATGTCAGAGCACAAGCAACTAATGCTAAATGCCAATCTGATCCAAACATAATGAAAAAGCAAAGAAATGCTCCCAATAACGATAATGACCTATGATTATAATATTTAGACATGTTGAATGAAGACGCTTCATCTTCAAAGCTACTACTTACCAATGGAAATACTTGAATCTTGGACGCCAATTAGGAGCTCTCAAAACAGAATGAAGAAATGCGATAATATTCACAAATGCATAACACATCAGAAAGAAGAAATCAAGCACCTGTAAGCAAAAGCTTAAGCTTACATCTCAAAATATCTTTTTTTGAGAATGAAATTAGTAATATTACCTCAGCGATCTTATCAACAGCTCCTAGGAGGATGGCCATCTCAGCTATGACTGTTGTTAGCAATAATCTTTAATTATGCTAATTATATAATTTATAATGTATATAGAAAACCCCAAAAACGGTTCATTCTTCTTGGTTACTGTAGCGAATGGAGCTAATATAGGAATGACGTCATCTTTAGCAATGGATTGCAATAAACGTGGAGCACCGAAAATTAAAATATACTATAACATGTGATACTGATAACTGACTGCATAAGCATTGCAACGCTGCACCGAATGTACTTAGGAAAGCTCCAACGGTGACGATCCATGGTGACGGCCAAGCCAATGTCGAGACAACCATGTTGTTTTCAATTGAACGTCCAAACCTATATAAATTATATAAATCTGTTCAGTATGTGATACACTTACTTATCTCGAAGAACTGATCGATCAACACTTGCAGCAAACAGTATAGCCAACGCATAGTATATGAGTGACGTTGTAACGGTTGCTGCTATGGTTCCAGAAGGAATAGAACGCTGTGGATCTTTCAAATCTCCTTCAATCATGCTGTTCATTAGCATTCAATACATGAATCTAGGTTGTTACCACTCATGTTTGTTCCCGTCATGATTCCTGTAACTGCTGGGAAATAGATAGCTAGTAGAACAAAGAACGTTGCCGTCACATCTTGGACAACCTAGAATACATAGTTAATCAGAATCAGATCAATTGTTCAATGAAGTTGAAGCAACCGTCGTCTTCAATTGCTCGCGATCAAATGATTATTTAGCGACGCACGTGCGTCATGACGTATGCTAATGAGGTTATGATGATGCCAAGGTGATTAGCATATGACTACCCTTCTCTTAGAACACATTAGCATAACGAACCAACCTCAACATCAGCTTTTCCTTCTTTACCCGGCATAACTTCGTCCTTAACCATATACATGGGCCAGAGATTATCTGCAATGTACTATAACTTGAAGAAGATGAACTTTGATCTCAAAACCATTTAAGGTGTTCATATTGAATCCGGTGAAGCCTTGTGTACATGAAATCTTGACTTTAGTGAACTCAACACATGACTCGCTATGCTTCTCACAGAATATATGTGTCAGACTATAATAAATAGAAGTTATACAACATCATATAATTATTATAATCACGCTGGGTTCTTGTCACACACATCACATATCCCATCCCAACGTGTACGTGAGGTTTCATTCAACAAACTATTATTATGATTATCAAACAGAACTGTTGACTGAATCAGACGATCATCCAATGAGCAAACCCTGCAATACCTCTGAATTAGCCAAATGGAACGCCTTCTTCAAGTTTACATTCGTCCTTCTCCAGTAATTGCTTTTTCCACTCCACCAGCAAAGCAAGCCAACAAAGCGACGATCACACAAGCTAGAGATACCTGTAATGATGCAGAATGTAGAATCCCCCTCAGTTTCAGTGTAAACATACGGGAGCCATAAGTTGTACGAACTTGACACCCATAGCAACGATCAAGACTTGAAGAATCAGAAACAACGTTCCATATATACGATAGTTGTTGTAAAGACTTCCAAATGCTTAATTATAATAATGAAAATGATTATGAAAGGCATAGTTACGATCAGTGTTATGAAGAGCTTCCTTGCCACCTATAGCCATATCAGGAGCAATGTACATCTTGCATTATTTATGTTTTATTTATAATCAATCAATAAGTACCAGTAGGACTTCGACACCTCCAACTAGGTACATGGAAGCAGCAACGGTATTAGCCAAGTAGAAGAGAATCCCCACAGCAGAGCCGAACTCGACACCCAGATTACGACTGTGCTAAGCATTAACTTCATTCAAGAGACTATGGATTACCTGATAATGAAGTAAGCACCTCCACTCTCAACAACTCCATTAGTAGCTACAGCGGATAGAGATATGGATGTGAGAAGAGTCTTAAATGAATTCCATCAGTACTACAAACAGTAATGAGTGATTACACAAAGACAACAAAGAGCCAGAAGAAGCATGGTGTTGTATAAACCGGCAATACCTACTACCCAGAAAAGGCGGATAAACATAGTAACGCCTAAGATGTGCTGGATGGTTGGAAGGTAGACACCTAACATGACTCCAAGATTAGCCTTCAATATACTTTATTGTGATAGCCTGTATAAACGATTATGTTACTTTCTTGATTTCACTTGTAGCCCGTTCCTTCGGGCCAGGTGTAGTGTAGGCTGATATGAAGGAAGCCGGTGGACCTTCTTCCTCTCCTTTGTAAAGAGCCAAATGGCCGAAAGTACTCTTACGGCGATAGTCTCCATTACTGGTGTCTCCTTCAGCTATGGGATCCAAGCCATTTCCTAACATAGGGTGAGTTTGAATAGAAACTATGTTTTCATATGTATAACTTGTTTCTTTTTCCAATATCTTTTACAAGACTATAGGTGTTTACGGTAGAAAGCGCTCTCTCTCTATTCCTCTCTCTCTCTTTCTCTCTCTCTCTCTATCAACTTCTGTCTCTCTCAACCTCGCTTCATGAAAACTAGTTTAGGTCAGATATAAGGGAATGAGGAAGAAAGGAACATTTGAAAGGCAACTCGATCATTTCAAAACCAATGAGATCAACGGCGATCAAAATGTTTCAACGAAACAACTCGTTGGCTATGTAAAGTAAGAAGAAGCTCTCATCTCTATACACTCAAGATAATATGTTAATGAACGACAAACGTTTGGTCATATCCTCCAAGGTATCTGGATTGACTTGGGTCACCGTACTGAAGCGACGTCTGAAATTACAGTTCTGAGTTAAAGCATATAGTAAAGAATGAATTTTGAATAAATATTTCATATAGCTAAGAGGGAATGTACATATAAGGTGGGGGGATAAAGGGTATGAGCACTTTTTGATTTTACAATAGAGAGAGAGAGAAGCTCATAAGTGAAAGAGAGAGAGATGAAGGAATGAAGTTGGCAAAGAGGTGAAGTGTGAAGTCATCTGTAAAATACAATTGATAATTACGTAAATCTTTGTCATCTCTGTCATCCAAAAAACTCATCTCTAACTGTCTCTCTCTCTCTACAGTTCTACAAGTAGTCTCTATCTGTTACCTTTATTGCAGAGAGAGAGAGAGAGAGAGGGAAGTAGTAGTTGTAGTAGAGAGAGAGAAGGGAAGGGGGGATGTGCGTTATAACATTTATCTTGGCCAGTCAATCATCAAAAGGACTAGTTTGTGGCATATTTGACGTTATTATTTGATATTTTTTTATTTCTTTATTATATTTTTTTGTTGATAAATAGAGAAAGACTTACGAAGTAGATTCCATGACTTTCCTTTTTAAAGCCTGCAATAAAAAAATTTTTTTTTTATTTTTTCAAACTTTTTATTTTTAAAATTAAAAAATAAAATAAAGAGAGAGAAAGATAGAGAGAGAGAGAGAGGGAGAGAGAGAGAGAGGATTGGAAGGGTAGATTGGTTACAAAAGTTGTTTAAATGCTGAGAAAAGTGAAGAATGTGTTGATGAATAAACAGTCCTCTTCGTCAAATGACAAGAATGAGATGGAAGATGACACACGCGGATTTCCTTAGACATTGTCATTCGTCTTAACAGAATTATTTGAATTAAAACCATTTTTTGTCACAAAATTACAAAAGAAACAAGAAATCATTGATCAGAAGTGAATAATTGGAAGAATGGAACGTCGAATATGAAAGCAGAGCCGAGATGATAGAGAGAGAGGAGGGAAGGTGAAGTTTCTTGAAATTATTTGAAAATAAAAAGATCGTTGAGAAATCAGTTAATCGTTTTGAAAAATAAAAAAAGAATTTACCTGTATAACCATGGCTTCTCAACTGCAAGCACACAAGCTTCTCTCTCTCGTATTAGAATGAAATGGAATAGACAACTTCTGTGCTCCTTCGTCTTCTTCTACTTCGTCTTCTTTTCAAAATGAAATGAAAAGAGAGAGGAAGATAGAGAGAGAGAGAGAGAAGGGCAAAGGTAGTTGGAAGGGAAAATACTTTTATTCTTTAAATTGACTTTTGTTTGGACAAACACGGACGATTATGAACAAGATTTCTGATGGCAGCCGATGAAATATCTGACGACCAGAGGAGGGGAGGTGGGGAACAGCAGGATACAGCACGGACTGCCCAACTAATAATACTGTAATAACACAGGTAAAAGGTGTGGAAATAGACAATCTGAGGCTTGTTTATCACGTTTTAACTACTTTGCCCATAACAGGCAAGTAATGGAAAACGGATATGGGTGGGTTGAGGAGAATAAAAATTTTGTTTTTTCTTCTCTCGTCTGTTCTTTTAAAAAACGCCAAAAGTTCAAATGAAACTACCTCTGAGTCCTCTCTTTATTCCCTTTCTAACACATTTTGCTGACTAGCAAGTAGAGAGAGAGAGAGAGAGATTGTAGAGAGAGAGACTGTAGAGAGAGATAGTTGGGAAGAGGGGGGGGAGGAGGATACTATAAACCCTGCTTACCTCATTTTACAGACTATAACTCATGAGTTTCAAAAGGAAAAACAGATAACACATTCCCTCTATCTCTTCAACTGTTCTTCTCTGCACAAAAGTAAAACGGCAAAGTTACTAGACAAAGACAGAAGCATCTTGCTAGCTTCCCTCATCACAGAGAGAGAGAGAGAGAGAGAGATGTCCCGAAGTAGAAGAAGAAGAAAGGAAGTTCAAACCTGCTAATTGCATGTACATGAGAACAAAAAAGAATTTCAAACGAAGAGAAGACATTGCTGCAATGTCCAACTGTTTAACAATGAATTTGCTAAAATCCTCTCTTTAATCTCTTATGGATTAAAGCCAAAAGTACGAAATTAACGAAAATTTCAAAAATTCCAATAGTTAAAGAGAAAGAGGAAAAGGGAAAAAAAAGATTTTTTCCTTTGAAAACACACGCTCATTCTCCTTATGGAGAAGCGAAGCGAGAGAGAGAGAGAGGGAATGATAGAGAGAGAGAGAGAGGAAGAGAGTTTCATATTGGTGTACTTGTCTCCAGAGACATTGTGTTATCATTTAAAGAAATATTATTTATTTATTCATTGTATTTTACAATTATTTATTTAAATATTATATTATTATTCTTATTCAAAGCGTTTAAAGTAACAGCTTAAGGATAATGATAACACACATACACATAAGAATCACATCAATTATGCAAATTATGATTGACGTGAACACGAAAATGATCCCCACGTGACGTCATATCGTTGATCTCATTTAGTTGCTTGATGACGCTGAAGAACGGTTGTATAAGTTAAGTATATGTAAACAGGAGCTATGATTTTTTGAATATTTATTATATATTAAGGAATAATTGATTGATTGATTATATAGTTAAATTCTTATCGGTCCATTAAGTGAAACTGTTGGCAGTGGCTGAAATGGCTAATAGTCTTTTGAAGCTCTGAAGCAATGAAAAGTTGTTTTTGGAGAGGAACTGAATGAAAGGGAAAAGAAAGAAGACAGGTCAACATAGAGAGAGAGAGAAAATGAAAGAAAGCTTTAAAAGTAATGAGAGAGGTTTCTAGTTGAGAAGGATAACACAAGAAAGAATCTGGAAAAAGGAAGAAAGTGCAATGAGAACAGAGCTGAACGTTAAAAACAGGATGTGACATTGGTGAACAGGCATGCTCACACAAACACACAAACATTCTGTAAAAAAGGAGGATAAGAAGTGTCAAAACAAATAAGAATGTCGATAGACTAGGAAGAAGAAAAAGAAAATAAGAAAGTTCTGTATGTTATCATGCCTGTTTCATATTCGAAAGTAGTCGGAGATGGTGACAGTGAGATAGATGAGAGGAGAAGCTGTCGTCTCTTAATAGCTAAAGTAGTATAAATAGAGGTTACAGGCTGAAGATATAGGGCCGAGGAGAAGCTGAGAAGCGGCCACGAAAGCATCGAAGTGATAATTGAAATTTAAAACTTAGTGATCACCGTTTTGCTAGTTGTTTCCGTCTTGATTGTTTGTTTAAGAGATGGGAAGCAAATGGACAGAAGTTGTGTGTTAATTGCATGTTTGATTTCACGATGAGCCATGGCAAAGATGAAGGCGTGTGATAATCCCGAGAGCGTTGCACATGTTCCCACAAAAAATGAAATTTCATTTAAAATCTGTAAAGGGTAATGAGTTATTTTTAAAAATAGATCTATAATTATATTATAATATACTATACTATATGTATATAATTACTAACCGGTATTTCTACTATAGTTCCGATTCCATTCATACAGCCGGGAACAACACCTATAAGAGCAGAAACCAGCAGAATGTACAAAGCCACCCGATTAGCCTGCAAATCTGTCAATGAATCACTCGATCATTTTCCTTTTTTTTAATTCATTTCCAGCCCTCTCTTTACTTCCTTCTCTCTCTCTCTCTCTCTATGTCTTCATCAAATTTCAGAACAACAAAAACAACAAGACAACAGGAGAGGAGTAGCCGGCCAGCTGATGCAACTTCAAAGACAACGTTTTGCCTTTTTTTTGTTCGATCAAGAGAGAGAGGATAGAATTAGCGCATATGGCTTGTTAGGATAACAGATGCCAGCAATAGGATTAAAGTTTTTTTTTTTAAGTTGGTTTTTGAACTGGATGAGCAAAAAAATACTTTTCGGATGTAATGCCTAAGGATATTCTGAAAGGAAGAGCAATTTATTCTCAAACCTCGACTTGTTTGGAAACAGAGAGCATAGATATGAGAGAAGAGTTGTTTAGCAGCCGAAGAATGCGGAGAGTACATTCATCAAGTGAGAAGTTATGAAGTCATCCAAAGTGTGACTAAGAATAACCACACAGAGAGTAAGAGAGTAAAAAAGCCAGAGAGAGAGAGAGAGAGAGAAGGAGAAGCTTTGAGGAAATGATTCGAATAGGAAACTTACACTACTGTCGATTTTGCTTCTATTAGCCTTTTCAATTTCTTGCATTCTGGCCTTGTTAATGGCCGTTCGTTTCCATAAATGGAACATGATAACAACCGTGAATAAGCAGGATAATAAATTCATGAGCATATTAGACAATCCCCAATAGGCTCGGAATGTCTGAAACATTATTTATATTTTTATTTTATTTAGTTTTTCATCACATTATTCTCGTTGCTTACATACGCTTCACCTTCACTCCATCTCTCTCCTTCTCTCTCTCACTCACTCTATCTCACCCTCTCTCTTACATCTTATCTCATGTTGTAAGCTTTTCGAAAATGAAATTGGAGAAATGTTGCAAACCTTATTTGTGAAACATCCGAATGAGGAGCATCGTGGCATCGGCTGGATTTCTACAGTAAGTTGCAAAACAATCCAATCAATCAAAGCCATAATCAGAGAAAATATAAAAGCCGAAGTACACCATCTGCAAGGACACATATTGATAGAGGAAGAGAGATTCTAAACATCTTATTATTTTGTGAAGCTGTTGCTCACCAGTCTTATGTGGCATATGATTCCCTCATCGCCCATCTTCTGAACCCCCCTCTTCCCCCCAACCACCCTCACTTCTCAAGTGATTTTTAAGTATGAAATAACAAAAATATAATTTCCTCCTCTCTTCCATGTAGCAGTCTCAAGCCTAGTTAGAGAAACTAACCTTCTCTTGGAGAACGTATAATATCTTGTTGGAGTATATAAAGCTAATATTCGATCAATGGCAATGGCTGTTGTGATTGTACAACCGGATTTCATTAGAGCTGCTGATGGACCACCTAACGGAACGATCACCCATGGATCGTAGTTGAAATCCATACCTTAAATGGTTAAAATAACATATTTTCCGACGGATGTTTTCATTCCTCTATCTTTACACTCTTCTTCTTTCTTTTCCTTTCTCCCTTTCTCTCTCTCTCACACTCTCTCTCTTTCTCTTGTAGACAGCTTCTATCTCATATCAAACTAATTTATAAGGTTACAAGGTTTTTCAAAACAGCTTAAGCTTGAATAACAGCTTAAGGATGAATGTATATATTGGACAAGCCGTGTATGGCATTTGATTAGTACCAGAATACATCAAACATCTCCACTTCATCAAGAAAATTTATTGTTTTTACAACTTTTTTCTTGTTCATCATCTTCTCCCCCTCATTCGCATTCCATCTCTGTATATCTGAGACAGGCTGCATCCATGCTGACTCACAAAGATCAAGTAAATAAAATCATTTTAATATCTCCATAACCAGAGCAGAGAACAAAGAATGAAAATAGTCATCAAGCTTTAATCTACTTGTTCACCAATCATATCTCCTTATAAGGAAATTTTTTGCAAAAAATTTTTTTCTTCTAAAATAGCCACAAAATTGAATTGGCTGATTTGACATTCAGGTATTACAGAAGTGATATGGTGATAGAGAGAGCATGTGTATGACAGAGTCTTAAGAGGAAGTAGCAACAAGCTTACCATCAGGCTTCCATTCACGGATAAGAATGACCAAATATGGAAATTGCAAGACGGCATAAACAAAATCTATGAAAGCCAATGAGACAAGAAGAATCAAATTATCATTTGCCCTGAAAAAAAAGAAATAAAAAGCTGAAATGAAAAATTAAATTTCTAGTTGGCCAACAAAAAAAAAGAAAAAATGATTCATCCGAACCTCAGCTTTCGATTCATACCCCAAACAAACAGAACAACGAAATTTGCAGAAATTTGCATAATACAGATGAGTAGGAGGAAGATGTCCACAAGTAAGGTGACAGTGTTGGTAATCATCTTACTACCTGCAAATAGAAAACTTCATCTGAATGATCTCTCTCTCTCTCATTCTCTGAGACTGAACTCATTGCACCGAGCTAGTCTTTCCCAGCCTACGTAAGGAATGTACGAGGTACACAAGTTTAAAAACAGATTCGGCTTCAGAAATAAAGTTAATTGGGTAACTTAGCACGTCATCAAGATATAAGAGAGGGTGGGGAACGAGAAGGAAAAGGAAAAAATAAGCTTTTTATCCGAACAGCTTGTCGCAGAAGGAAGACAGATCGTAAAATTGAATAAACTTTTCTTTTTATTTTTACTTTTACTTCATCTTCTAATTCCATTCTCTCAATCTCTCTCTCTCTCTTCCTCTCTCTCTCTCTCTCATTTCTTCTTTTTGTTGTTTTTTGAACAACAAAATAGACAACAAAAATTAAAAGACGAAGAACACAAAGCTCAAGGAAATAGGCGAGAATCTGAGCTTGCCATCAGTTAGTCTCTTAAGCTACCGCCAACTTTGAAAATAGATGTCAAGGGCGTGACGGAAGGAGGAGGAGAATGGTGGGGAAGGGGACAAGCTCCGTCTCAACATCGTCAGCTTCTAATTATGCCTCAGGTTGTAACTGAACAGAAACAACAAAAAAACGAAGAAGAAGACTCTAAAACAAAAAGAGCAAATTGCATTGGATTTCTATGGATAAAAAGTAAAAAAAAAATGAAATAAAATGGTGAGCGGCGTGTTTTTTGTGCTTTTTGATTGGAAGATTGCAAGAGGGAATAACAGATGCAACCTAATATTTTGAGAATTTTTTTATGCCCAAGAAATATTTAAGGAAGTTAATAGATTGACATATGAAGTTTCATAACGCTTTTGGAATAAACACGTCAGATGCGACAAGCTTTTAGGACGAAGAGTCTGCAACCCCTTTGAGAGACGACGACAAAAATTTTTTGTTCATAGAAGGAGGAGAAGAAGGAGGAGGAGCTAGGAACTCAAAGAAATTCAGAAGAAAGTTTGAGATGCGACTCCTTTCCTTATATGACTTATAATTCTAAAATTCAAACAAAACAGAAGGAATAGTTGAGCGAACATTATGTTGAAGTAACTACTCACTGTGAAGTTCAGACTATCTTACATGCATATGACGATTGGAGATGGGAAAAGAACAGTGAAGAAGAGGATAGATTGTTTAAGCTAAAGAAAGACACAACCGTCGTCTAAGTCTGAATTACTAGGAATGGCGTGAGAAACTTGTTTGAAATGAAATTTACGTGAAGAATAGTGACGTATGCTAATTAGAGCACGACACTGAAACTGGAGCACGTGTGTACGCATGTACCGCGGTAACATTGCCATTCGGTTTCCATTTCAAAAACTATAGATTAAAAGCTATTTTGATTCATTGAAGTAACAATTTTGAATGTTTTGCTCATATTAAAAAAAGTTTAAAAAAAAGGCGAAAACGACGTGTAGACAAGTGAAGTATTTGGTTGGCTGACAGATGCATCTGACGCTAAGCGAGCCAGAATCTCCATCAGATCGTTGATCGATGACAAAAGCAACAAACATCATCTTTTAACTCTTGAAATGATTTTTGATATGCTCCTCTTCCAGTTTTCAAAGTGTCAACGAGAAAGAAGAGCGGAAGCTTTAAAAAGGGGAAATTAAGTGAGCGAATTTCAGAGCATCAGTGTTGTGCTCCTCTAATCTGGCCGGGAGAAAGGGGTGAGAGTGGTGGTAAGGCGAGACTGCCGTCCCGCCAGATGAAAAAGGCGACTAAGAATGAAATGATTCAAACAAAAAATTCTCAGTCAGTGTGAAAACAAGTTGTACGTCTTCAATGACTTCTATATTCCACATAAGAGATTATATTGAGAGTGTGTGTTGATTCAGGCCAATAACTAGAGTCAAAAGGTTTTTGTTTCAATATTCTTATTCTCCTTTTTCATACAGATTAGTTGGGCGGAAGAGGGCGATTGCTGTCAATTTGTAAGCTTGTGACTAATTGTTAGCCGGAACAGATATGGAATAGTATAACAATAAGAATTTATTAAGATTATTTGAATATGAATGGGAGCCTATGAGATATAATTAAAATACAAACCAAAAATAACTTGTGTGGAGGTTAAAGGGGAAGAGAGATAGATAGAGAGAGAGGGAGGGAGAGAGAGAGAGAGAGACCTCATATTGTCTTCTTCTAATTACAAACCGGAATGATGTCAAATAGAGGATTGGCATGAGCCATCTTCTCAGCCCCCTTACTACTCTCCATCACCTCATTCTGTTTACTGTTGTTGTAAATACAGAATGTGATGGACAGAACACAAAAAATACAATAAAAAGCTGAAAATGTAATGAGATAATGACGAGAAGAAGAGAATTGAAAAATGAAGTGTTTGTATGGGTTTTGAAGCATTTCCTGCTGTTTAGCTTTTACCAAAGAAAATGAATCCAACCGCGATTTCTTGTACTTCCGATTTCTACCTCACTGCTTCGTCTGTTTCGTATTCCTTTATCCTTGATTGATTCTGCTTCTTCCTCCTTTCTTCTTTATCATTCTTATATGATGATGCATGTTCAGAGCTACTTCATTTTCTTTCGCATCAACTCCCAATTTTAAGTCAACACTATAATAGGCTTAAAGTACTTGTTTACCCTAGTTTATCTGTACGTAATGCTTATTTTCTACTTCGCCTATCTAGTAGCTGCCATCTATGCCAAACTTCAGATTACAAATAGTCACATCACTTTGCTCATCTTCCACGATCTTAACATATCTGATTGCAAAGGACAACCGTTCGTGTGCCATACACATCTCTGAATGATTGAGATGCGTTGGCATTTGTACGTTTTCACACTTTATGCTAATTAGCTAATCAATGAACTCACGTCTCACTTGTTACCCACAATATGAGAATATTCGTCCCGTTTATATTTAAATTGTACATCTAAGAGAGTGAAAAAAGAAAATAAAAGTTTCGAAACTTCATGGAAATCGAAAGTTGCTTGTCGGGTGTCATGGAATTTGAAAATTTCAGAATTCAGCTTGCAGATGTGAGAAAAAGAAATTATGTTATAATTCATTCTAAAACTCTATACTGTACATTTGACAGAAAACAGAAAAAAAAACGAGAACAAAACAGAAACAGTTAACAATCTGAAGATAAACGTATGTACATGTATGAACATAATGGTTCTTAGAACAATAGAAGTTCCGATCTACCCGCAATGGTGAGAGTTGTAAATTCATTTATAGCCATATTCTATTTTCATTCTAATTTCGTCAATTTGCAAACATACATCGGACCAAAGTTGGATGGCAGAAAAGGTAGAACCAAAGCCCCAATCTTGCACTGCTCAGAAAACCGAAAAAGTCCAGTCGATGTTAGATGCGTTGTTAATTGCAGTAAAGATTCTTCAACTATCTGAATGAGTAATTATGCTTTTCAATTAAATTGCAAAAACAACTGGTAAACCTTCATTCCGAATTTCTGCTGAGCGATTGCAACAGCATTCTCAACAACGGCCTCATTCTGCGACGCTGAGAGGGTACATGTGGAGTACACAACGCTTCCTCCAACTTTCACAGCTCGTAAAGCGTTTCTGGAATTTGAAATGAGACAGCGACCAAGATTAGGATTTACATTAAAATTTTAGTTTGCAGCTGTGGCAATGAGAGTCTTTGGTTTGTGTTATGAGTAGAGAACAAGTTGCCTTCATCCTGGTTGACTGCCAAACGATCTGTCGAACAGGGTACATCCGCAATAACCTAAACATAATACTTCTTTAATAACTATCGGTGAGGGACAGTTGACCTTGTCATAAACGCCAATTTCATCCCATGTGGACAAGTCACTACCATCTTTACGTTTCAAAATAACTTTCTCTGACTCTGGAGAGTCAGAAGGAATGTAAGTGGATAGCGCTCGCTTGAGCTGTCCCAGTCTTGCCAGTTTGAAATCATTACAAACAATCTTATCTGAACTCAGAAGCTCACGAATGAAGCACATGCGAAGTGGAACCTGGTAAGCCAGTAAGCAGAGCTAACAAACTTTTTCCTCCTGGAGCTGCACACAAGTCCAAAACATTATCTCCCTTCTCTAAGCCTAATGCTAACACGGGTACTAATGATCCACCATCTAAGAGCCACCAGCCTAAACAAAGTTTCTCAGTTAGGAAACAAGGAAGTGAAGAATATCACTTGGGACGCCATTTTCTCCTTTAATGGGTGGAGGAAAATCAGATGTTACTCCTCGATCGTATGATTGGATAAAAAGACTCCGTGGATAATATATGAAATGTTTTCTAATCGGAAGAACAGCGCCATCACCTTCCAGGCCAGTGATTCTATAACAATCCACACTAACGAGCCATTATGCCATCTCACAAACTAACTCGAAGTCTAAATTCTTTTTCTGAGATTTTTTCATCTGGAGAGAACCGGGAGTGATAGTTTCCTAAACAAAAAACAAATTAGAAATTCAAATGATATCCACTTACTCGCGAAGGCTGAAATTCATTCAGACCTGCAGCTGATCTCATATAATTCTCCATGGGAGAGCGTGGTGTAGAAGTTTCCATGTTAGTAACCGTATTCTATACAAATCATAATGGAGATATGTTTTAGAGAATGCTTCGCATACATTAAGTTCTAGGGCATATTCTGTTTCTTTCACAGCTTGAACTTCTACAGACTTCTTCTTCTCTTCTATCCTCTCTTCTGCCGTTTTGCCACGTACTCGTTGCAGTAGATCGAAACAACCGGAATCGCTGAGTATTTCTTGATGTGCTTTCCAACTACTAAACAATATTGGGATGAAGAAGCTGATTATTAATGGAACTAACGTCGACAGCGTATTCATCACAGCTATATATTTGTTCGGGTTCAGTAAACCTAATCGTATACTTGGCCATCTTTTACCAAACATAGGCCCATAATAGAAATCAAAGTTGTCTAAAGCTACAGCTGATGGCGTTTTCATTGGCTTCGTTTTGGCAATCTATGGCATTTCTATTCTTGTTGGTTACATGCTCGAAGCAGCACTCACCTTAGGTTTGAATTTGGCCGTTTTCCATCGTACTTGAGATAACGTAAGCTGGGGCACATGGAAAAACTTCCTCAAATTTATCATCTTAATAGAAGTAGATTTGAAAACATTTGATTGAAGCCGAACGATATGAGAGAAACCGATCACAAACCATTCAACGACTTCTTAACAATTCAATAAAGCTGTAAAGCGAGTAAATAACACAGATCGGTTCAGAGCTCAGTCTTACTGTGAGAATTCATAATATAGATCTTTGACGCTACGGACTCAGTTAGTGAGATCAAGAAGGTATGGACTGTTATTGGACCGTATAAATACTGCACTTCAAGCAAGAGCAAACCCCTTATGAAGACAGGAAATCCGATGAAAAGCATGGGAAAACCATAATCCACGAGAGATGCTGTACTCTAGGTTCATGCAAAAGCTAGGAATTGTTATTTCTGTGAAAAATAATATTTCCGTATTTTTAGTATTACTTATTACTTTTCTGGGAATAAATTGAATTGCGTATCCTGGAAATGCTCAGTTCCGAAATCCACATACAACCGCTCAGTGCGAACAACATTGTCAAAATAAGCTTCTACTACTTGTATGTAATTCACGTGTACGAGTACAAGTATGCTAATTCATGAAAGCGCGGGCAAAAAATCTTGAAATGCTTCATTGGAGCAGTTAAACGCGGGGTTTGATTGAAAGTTCAAAGAATATAAAGATTAACAAAGAATGTCATAATGATGAAATTCCGCGTGTTCTCCTCTCCTTCCATGTATAACCATAATAAAATAATACAATAGAAGTAAAGTGAGGGAAGTTTTATTTCAAAAAAAAACATTGATAACAACGCTTTGCACTGTTTTTAACGGGCTAAATACCATTCTACTTACGATGCTTCTGCTAGTTGCTCTTCGTCTTGCTAAGCTACTCTAGTGTTTATTACCTTTTTTAAGATCTTTCCATGTTGATTCGTAATGCCGTTGTATTGTTTATAGAAACTGATTTTCGAAGCTCCATTTGCAGAAATGTTATCATGCCTGGCCTTCTACCCATCACTGGGATACAATTTAGCTAGAAATTATTTTCAACCTAAAAAATGGGCTTGGTATAATCGAGTTGATGAAACATTAATTGTGGGAGCCATGCCTTTTCAGTCAATGGCATCAGAGTTAGTAGAGGTTCGTTCAAGGTCTATCGTCTATCAAGTTTTGCAGCAGCTTCAAATCAACAAAGCAATAATGAAGCTTTACTGAAGTATTTTCGTCTTATTCTATTCTTACTATTTTAGAAAGAAAATGTTGGAGGAGTTGTTTGTTGTACAGAGAATTTTGAATTGAAAGCTGCTTATCAATCAATGGCAGCGGAGGTTCAAACCCACCCACTCTCAAAAACACTGTTTATCAGTCATTCAGGAATGGAAATCATTAGGTGTTGACTTTCATGGAGTTCCAATGACTGATTTCTTTGGATCAGCTGGTCGTGCTGACATCGATGATGCCGTTTGTTTCATGGAAAGTGTTGTTGGAAAGGGAAAAACTGTATATGTTCACTGCAAAGTCAGCTTTCAACTCTCCCCTCTCCCTTGTGTAAACTTCAATCGTTTAGGCAGGCAGAACACGTAGTGCAACAGTAGCAACTTGCTACTTGATGAAAAGACGAAACTGGCTTCCAAACGTGGCTTTTGAGTTTTTGAGAAACCAACGTCCTCAGGTTTTTATTCATTTCCGTTGTGAATCGATCAATTGAATCCTGTAGGTACTGCTAAGGAATGCTCACTGGAGGACGGTGAATGAGTATAGGCGGTTTTTGGATCGAAACACCAACATCACCCAATAAGCATATCCAATCATATGTGTTGAAATTGAGATAGTAAATTGGAAAAATATATTTATTTTTACTATAAACCATTTTTTTTTGAAACTAAGTAGAATTCGATACAGGGGGCTTGCATGACCAACCGATACACGCGTTCACGCATTCAAAAATGAAATTCCTCTGCGGCGTTTTTCCCTGATTTTTTCATGTCTGAGCAAATTGTTTGAAGGTTTCCAATCACAATTTGTCAGCAGTCCGTATAACGTACGTCGTTTTTCAGTTGAAGTGCCCGGTTTCCGCTTCTTCTGTCTTCTCCAGATTTCTCAACTGTGGTTCCTGGGTCACAACCGGTCTGAGCAGCAAACAGTTGCGAGCTGAAACGAGAAGCTCATAGTCGTAAAAGAGAGTTCCTCGTTTGAGTTTGAAATATGGATGTGCCTTGCCTTGTTTATTTTTTGTTGTTTTGAAATAGAAAAGGATGGTCGTAAAGAAATAATTGATTAGATGCGAGTGAAAGGTGATTGGCCGAAGTGTTCGTCTTGTTAACAGTTCACCTGAGTTGTTTGTAATAAAAAGAGAGATGTTTGCTTTTCTATTCAACCGATCATAGCTCTATATGTACAGTTATGTCTAGTACAGTTCTGTCCATTTTTGAATTATTCTCTTCATATGTAAATGCCCTTATTCCTGCTATTGAAGCTAATTCTCATAATTTCCTAGAAATATGAAGAGAAAGCAAGTTTATGTGTCAGATGACATTCATATAAACACATCCTACAGCTCTCCCATCTGAATTCTCCTTCTGTCTCGCGTTCGTTACCACCATTCCAACATGTATCACGTTTCACTTCTGTAGGCGTAGGATTTAAGATTATCTTCCTTTTAATGGACAAGTTTGACCGGCATATCGAATTTGAAACATTCAAAAACACAGATTAGAGTTACTCCATCCACATGTTAATACTCCTTTCACTAATTCCAAACCACACTCTCCATCCTTTTTTCCAATTTTGCTCTTTGGCACAGGTCCTCTCACCTCTCTAAATCATCATGTGAACTGCTCCAAAACAACTGGCGAATGGATACATTGGAGATAATCTTGTACAAACTGTCATTACTGTCATAGACAGCAGTTATGTGGATTTGGCGCCTTTGCACACATGAGTTCACATAAGAACTGTACAGAACTCTAAACTACATACATGGTCTCTTGCCAATCCATCCATCATCTCATCTACAGTCATCTCTCTATGTCTCTCTATAGACGAGATTTTTATTTTCGTTTTTTTTCGAAGAACATTGTTAATATGTATATAGTATAAGGAGATGTGGATTGCATTGATTTGAACACACTTTGATATAGAATTTGAAAATGAAAGAAGCCTTCCTTCAATCGTTCTCTTCAACCACATTCCCCAAAACCTGTAGTTATTAAGTATTATTTCTTCTTTTTCACTTATTTAACACGTTCTTTCTCATTTTTTATTGAACTTTTTTTTTTTTGAAATAAGAATGAAGACAAACAAACAATGAGAAAATGAAAATTCAAAATATCAAAACGAGATGTGTTGGTTGTCTTGTTACGCAATCTGTCATGTTAGAGACTTCCTTTTCTTTTTCTTCTTCTTTTTTTTACCTTCATCTTCATTCTTCTCGAGGCTTATTAGCCCTCAGGGCCTATGAGGTGGGCGGACGATGAAGCGTTTGATGTTGGCTGGGTGCTACGATGGTTAAGACTGCGATTCCGGTTTGTCGTCTCCGTGTCGTTTTGTCCTGCTTTCTTCTTCTTCTTCTTCTTCAACATTATCGTCGTCGTTCTTAGTCTTCTTTTCAACGACGTCATCAACACTTCGTCGACATTAATACGATCATTAATGGTTTCACTGATAATAATTCATCTTCATCTTGCCATCAATGGTAATATGGAATCATAGAATCTTCCAACTGTTTTATCTCTCTCTCACTCTTTGTATTTCTCTTGGATATGTTTGAACAATCATCTGAATTCCCTGTCTACCCACTTCTAAGAGCTCATTTTTGCATGAAGTTGATGTATTTCTATGTTTTTTGTTGTTTTGTTTGCAACCGTTCTGTCCTCTGCCACATGCAACCGCTCTGTTCAAATGCTTTGAGTGAGAATGATTACTTACGTGAGCTAAGCCTGTTCACGTGATTCCACGTGACATATAATTAGAATAAGAGACATATTGATGTCTGCATAGCATGCAACATTTTCAATTCAAAACACAATTTTGAATGAATGAAAGGTGTTTCATAGAACTAAGATGTATATGAACACTGTTGTTAATCTGTTTTAATCTTCTGAATGATTTGATTGTAAACATGTATAGAGACGACCTTAATTACCAAAAAAGGAAATGAATGACTGAAGAAAGGAAGAACAAGTTGAATTGATCTTCCAATCCCCCAACCCCCACCTCTCCACACCCATATTCTGCCCCCCACCTCTTCTCTCTTCACACCCTTCTTTCTCCTTATTTTTTTGTTAATTTTATTATATAAATGAACAGCTGTTTCTTAGGAATTGTCACATTCACATCAACGTTTTGCGCTTTTTCCTTCGTGCACTTCTCCCTTCTCATGTGATTCTTCTTAATTCGAAAGGAGTTTCTTGAAGCAACTTGTTAAGATAAATGAAACTGACTGTCTTTCACTCCCACTCGGTTCTTTATCTCCTGTCTAACTCTCTCTCTCTTTGTATTGTTATTTGACTACCTCTCTCTCTTGCTACCACTCCCTTCATCAAAACATCAAACTCATTTCCCTTTTTTTTGACTTAAATATTTATTTGTTGAGTGAACTCATGAAAGTTTTATTGTTGTTAAAGGTTATCGAGCCTCTTACAACCTTTCAAGTTCTATTGCATTGTCATGATCACGAAAAGTGAGAAGCTTTTCCTCAACCTCACCTCTTGATACCCGTCATCATCAGCTGTTAAGCTTTGCCGCGAAATATTAAAAAACGTTTGCTTGTTTCTCATAGCTCACGGCTGATTAGTCTTTCTCCCTCACTCCCTCTCTCTCTCTCTGCTTCTCTCTCTCTCTCTATATCATTTGTATTGTTCATTGAGATATCCTCAGATGGTTTTTCCTTTTTGTCAAATCTTTGAAATAGTTGAAGAAGCAGGTTGCAAGCTTGTACATATGAATAATGAAAATTTCTTTTGTTATTCAAATATATGACAACATTCGCACATTTTCTTTTGTTTATTGCTGTATGCAGGCTTTATCTACCATATATGGTTGAAATATCAATTATTGGAGTTTTATGTTTTGAAAAATGTTGGCGGAAGGCCAAACAACTGATTTGTTGATTTGTTTGTAGAACTGTTTGTTGTTTGTAGTTTGAACATGATTGATTGATCTCCTCCAAAGCTTTCTAATAGTATGTCTGATTGAGTGATGAAGGGTTTCCCGACTTCTTTTTCCGTTTTTTTGTCTTTTTCTTCGTAAACCGCAATATCTGCTTTTTATCTTTTCACGTCCATCAAAGATGTTTTTCTTATTTTGTTCCATTCGACTACGAATGAAAGGCTCCTGTTAAGAATGTCTCTCTCTCTCTCCCTCTCTGTGCTATGTGAGTGTATGGACAGAAGAAGAGAAGATTGAATGAAAGTTTATTCGTCTTGTGAATAGTTTTTTTTGTAATTTAACAAAGTACTTTCTAATGTCTTTTCTTTTCCATTTACGGTGAAAAGACTTTGACATATGTGGTGTGTGTATGTGTCTCTATTGAATCTGGGAAACATTAGAAATGCATATCTTAGCCTTAAGAACAGGAAGATCGAATGATAGCCAAGAAGAGAAAAGAAAAGGAGTTGAGAGAATAAGAGAGAGAGATAGAGAGAGAGTAAGGGTGGGGGGAGGGGGTGAACGCAAAAACGTCATGTGAACCGAAGGCCAATTTAGTGAGAAAGACAATGGAAAAGCAATTTGCCGTCCGGATATAGCTTCCAACGCCTTGAGAGAGTGAGAAGATTTGTTTTTTTTTGTTCACTTTCATGAAAAGGCTAGATTATGGTGATTTGTTAACGATAGAGAGAGAGAGAGAGAGAGAGAGAGGGGGGAGAGAGTGATGAGTCCACACCACGCAGACCATCGTTCCCATATGTTGATGTTGGTTAGATGGAAAATGATTTTTGATGAGAAGAGTTAACGCAAAAAAGAGTTTTGTTTAAACGATACAGTTCTGATCGTTCCTCTCAAGGAATGAGTCATCTATTAGATTCCTAAATAAATCATTTTCTCCGTTTTTCCTTAACATCGCACCATTCAATTCTTTACATTTCAACTCACGAATTCAGTCCATGACTGTTCGTGTAATTTGGAAAGATTTCCTCTCTCTCTCTCGCTCTCTCTATGTTTCCTCTCACATCATCTGACTCTCTCTCTCTCTTCTCTACTTCTGTCACTCAGTTTAGGATGTTTTCTAATCATTTTTGGACGAATCATGTCATTTTACTCAAATCTGTGGCAGATGTTTTGGTTCTTTTGTTTGTAAAATGGAAAATGATCTCTTCATGTCTTGCCTTTTACAACGAACTTTTACCATTCGAATGCTCTCTCTCATTGAATTAGAGTTTTAGGAAATTGTGTTGATGTTGCATCTTCTGCTATACTCTCTGCTTAATCTTTCTTTCTCTTTCAATTAGTTAGACAACTCGTGTCTCTCGTTCTCTCTCTTCCTTCCCTCTTTGTGAGAGTGGCCAACCATCTGCAACCAAATTAGGGTGGAATAATCGAAAAGTCCCGATATATTACTCTCTCACTATCATAAGTATGTGAAGCTGAAGCCTTGCTTGCGTTGTTTTGTTTGAAATCGGAAATCAGCGTTTGACGAACTATTTGCTATCGTCCATCTTGTGGATATATGAGTAGCTTTATTGGATTGGATGAAGATCTAATTAGATAAGCACTTTATCCTTATAGCTTCTTGAATCTGTTTCATTTTAACTTCTTTTATATCCTTTGCCAACGATTCAGATGGAGAAGAAGAATAAGAAGAAGCAAAAGAAGAAGAAAAGTAGGAGGAGGAGCTAACCCCTCTTGGCCTCTTTCCATTCTATTGATTCTTGTCCATGGGAGCTTCTGGTTCTCTTCTTCTTTCTGAGTCTTAAATTGTGCCTTATATGGATCATCTGTAAATCAATGTGACTTGACATTCTAAACTGAAACCAGTCAGCCAATTATGAAAGCTGAAAGATTTATAATTATCGCAATAAGCTTTTGCCTATCTCCTGCATGTAAATACGTTGTTTCGAAAAAGTGTTTTTCGCGTCTGAATGAGCAGACGATTGCTTCATCTTCCGTTTTTGGAAAAGATAAATCAGGCATTCTGTTCGTAGCTTGATTCTCTAGGGGAAAAACCTGTGATGTTCCCTCTTGAACCAAAGCACATTGAACTCGAAATGCTCTCTGATATTCAAGTCATTCATATCTCACTCTTGGTCTTATTTGGAAATTAATGTTCTTCATTTGTCCTTCGCTCACTTCATTCTTTCCATGAAAGTTCTTGCTTCTTCGAAAATGTTTTTGAACAAAAGGATAAGCTTTGAATAAATTATGTGAGCCATTCGATTTTAGTCTTTTGCTGTCTGAAAGTGAGAAAAAACTTTTTTTTTCATTATTTCTCGGTCATGAGGTTTTCGGCAGAAGAGAGGGATGACGGCGGGTTGTCCTCCCCCCCTCTTCCCTTCAGCCCTCCGAGAGCTCCGTCATTCTTTCTTTTTCCTTTTTTTACGCGTTTGTCATGTTTGTGGCAACTTTTTTGATGAAAAGCATCTTTTTCCGCTTTTCCTTTTTAATTTAGTCTGTCGTTTCCCTTATTTGCCATCAAAGTGGTTATGAAATCGGAGAAGACGTCAGATTTCATTCAATGTGTTGTCAGAGGATGGCTGTAATTGAGTCTCAAGACCATATATGCATGAAAGAGCTATTTGACCGCTTATGTGTACTGTTTTTGCATTCCGTTTTGCATATTTTCTTGCTTTAGCTTTATGTTCTTGTTGAGTTCTCTTAACTTTTCTCTTTTGACTGTCTCTCTCATCCTCTTGGCTTCAGTCCTTGTTGTTGTCAATACAACAACAACAACATCAACGAATTCTATTCATTTTCTCTTTTTTTTCAAATCATCTCTAGACTTTCAAGGCTTGTCGTTTTGGTCTTCTGAATTATTAAATATTCTGACTTTATGCTTTCTCTTTTTCATTTCGGACTTCCAACAACTTTCCCTACAGCCATTGCCCCCCTGGTCTCTAGGCAAGATGTCTTCTCCACCTGTATTGCTTTCAATCACTTTCGTTGATATGCATGTTGTAGGATGAAGTTTAACCGCAACTTCTATACATTTCCTTCGTCATCTTCTTTTTCATACAATTTTAGATTGTTTTTCAATCTTTTCTAATCGAAAATCTTGAAAGCAAAAGGAAGTTCGAAACGAGCAAAGACTAGCTTTGGGCCTCTTATCTGCCTTGAATATCAAGGTTCTTGGAGGTTGTACTGTTACAGCAAGAAACTTCCCAAGCATATTCTCGTTTAATCTCATTCAATGTTCTTTCATTGTCGTCTTCTTCACTTTTTCTTTTCTTTCAACTTATCATAAATGTTTGAAGCATGCTCTAATGACTGAAACCATAAACATTGCGTCATTGGCCATCATGTGCGAAGGCAAGGATATCAAGCCTTTTCCGTATGTTTCATTTTGTATTTATTATTTATTTCTGTTTATTCTCTCCACACACTTACACATAGTTCCTTGTTTAGCCTCGATCCAGCGCCTCCTCCCTATTCTCCAAGATGTGAAGAACTTCAGCGAATGCGTGATGAACTTGAGTATGTCCCTCGTCCCACACAAATAATTATGTAAATCGAATATTCCTAGTGCTGCTCGAAGATGTCTAGCTGAAAAGGATGAAAAAATGTGTAAACTAAGTCGTATCCAAGATACAGTAGATGCTGAGGTTCAGGAATTGACAGAGAAACTGTTTCAGGCAATCACTTTGTATTCGTCACATGTCATAACTATGAGAGTTAATTATAGGAAGCATACAAAATGGTTAATGTAGCTGAAGAGAAACGGGAAAGAGCTGAAAAACTGCTGGCCGAATCTCGATTACAGGTATATCTGTTTTCATGACGAACAAACATAACGTTTTGATGTAAGGTGGATGTTCTCACAGCTGAAGTTGCCGCTCTGAAAGTTCTTGTGCAAGCACCCGGAATGGGTAGAAACCATTTTCAAAACACATCTCCTGAACACAAATCGGCTTTGGCCAAATTGTTTTCTTCCAGTTCGAGTGAGCATTCAATGATTAACTACATATTGAGCGTTGTTTGAAGTTAATAATAGAAATAATACAATTTCAGATTCCTCAACAAAGAAAACAGCATCATCGTCGTCTACGACGTCAAAAAAATCAAATTCGCTGCCATCCTCGTTACAAGAGAATCGTGAGAAAGAGAGGGATGCTGAACAAAAAGAAGCTGATGCCGTAGAAGAAGTATATATTACTAAGCTCATGATGGGGGTCACTAAATAGCTTTGTTTTCAAGGTTGATCCTATTCTTTTTGGAGAATTTGCTTCATGGAGAGATGCAGGACATCCAGCTGCAAATCATCCATTCGTTGACAGAATTCAATTGGAAGAAGTTGGTCCTTGCATGGAATTCAAGAACAAGCAGGTAACCGAGTTAGCAGTCACTGCGGTAAATACAATTACACTTTTCCAGCTTTCCGATGGAGTATTAGATTCGATGGCTTCGAACATGCTCGAAGTAGAGCCAGTAAATGAAGAAAAACCATCAGTGAAGTATGTTTTGATATTGAATACGATCCTTAAACAAGAAACTTACAGAACTTGTGCTCTCACCCAAGTTTCTAGATTCTGTCCTTACCGAGTTAGGACATCATCCGATTCAGAATGGCACCAGATATCTTTATTAGCGAGAAATAGGGTTAGTTGAATGAATTGTTTTTTCTAAAAACTGAACAAGATATTGGTGAGCAACCGTTCAACGTTCGAACATAAACTGAAAATGAACATCTCGATAAATCCGCTCAATATGCTAATTCATCATTTTGCTTGCGTCAAGTGCGGTCTTAATATGCAAATTTTTCAGTTGGCGGCAGTTTGTGATTATTTTACATTTCTGCGATATCTTCATCTCGGTTTAATTAAATCTGGAATGCGTGATTCTTACTTCGATCTCATAACTCTTCGGAAAAACATGTCGCTTGCGAAGTTAGGTTTAGGATTTGTTCCTAAAACAAACCTCCGTCCTTCAATGTAATAATACAGCTCATGACATTCTCTCAAGAATATATTTTATAATTAATACGTTACGATTATGATTGTGATTTGAACACAAAAACACTTCTCTCTTGTCAGTAATACTGCTTATTGATCATTTCAACTAAAACCTCCATTTATTCATCTGTTTCTATACTTCTCACTGGGTAACTGAGTATGATGTTGAGTTTATGAACCTTGTAAATATTTCTTTTCTGTTATACTTTCTCACTCTTGTCTCTGTCTTGCTGCCATCGTTCTCAAGCTAATTGTATTGACCGGTTTCTTTTTCTCATTCATTTACTAAACTTGACGGACATTTCCTTTGTTATTTTGAACAGAAAATATCTGTAATAAATGAATTTAAAGATGAGAAGAAAACTCAAAACGTTATCTGATTTACAGACACAAATTTTGATTTTTACGAATTACTTATGATGTTGAGGATTCATTGGCATAGGACACTTTGCGGGAGGCAAGAATAGAGGATATTGTAAAAAGGCCAAAAACAACTATTTCGGTCACACACTTACACACTTTTCGGAATCCAATCTGATTTCGATGTATTATTCGAGCTCCTAGTCGTGATTGGTTTCAAGGTATACGTGATCTTACATAGGTTACTGTAGTTGCACAAAGCATTGATCAACTTTCTGATCTCTTCGATTTTTACTTTTTTTTTTTTTTACTAATTATCAAAAAAGAAATGATACAGGAGAAACGCTGAATTTCAACATTTTTAAAAATCTATTTTTCGATGTATTGTTCTTTGTAATCGCAACTCTCTGTCTTCTTCAATGATAGAATCCAAGAATAGCCTTCTAACAAAAAAAAGTTTTCTTGATTTGGTCAATTTTTCAAGGAGTTAGAGTGATTTGAATTGTGGGGAATCATGTTTGTGCACGACCGCTCACACGTAAACCGCGTGTTGAGAAATGAAGTTTGCGTGAGCAAGAGCACGACCGTTACACTCCTTGGCGAAATGAAAAATGAAATTGGTTCATTTTCATTTTCATCGCCAAAATAAAAAATGCGCGGTGTCCTCCTGCGAGCTTTAAAGTTGCAGAACTTTCTTCATTCTCAACCGATTTTTGAAATTTTTTTAAACTTCATTTTTTCAGAAATAACGTTTTCTGCCCTTTTCGGTCATTTTAATGCTTTCGCAAAGTCGCGTCTATGCTAAACTGCGCTTACATATTGTAGAACTCTTCCGAATAATAGGCTACAGCTCTACTCCCATTTGCGGCCTGCACTTTTTCCATAAGGAAAAATTAAAACAAGACTGGGAGTTGAGTTTGACCCAATGCTAATTGGAAAGGCTTTACTGTGCGCCCTAATCATAACTGATATACGTGATCTTACGTAGGTTACCGTAGTTGCCAAAGCTCTTTCATGACACCTCCGATGTTTTCGAAATTAATTAAATTATGCAAATTTCTATTTTGTTTTTTTAATTGTTTTTAAATGTTTCTTTTTTTTTATTTCATCTACTTCTCACAGGTACTGGCTACGATGTTGTCATGAAAGAGGAAAAGTGTGACATCAGCTGATTTCCGCAGCAAGAACTGGAGGTCACGGTTTATATAGGTTGGTAGGAACTTTAGTAAAGTGTAGTTTATATTCTGCCTTTCAGCTGCTAGTCGTCAGAAACAAAGAGTCTTGTACTTCTTGCTCGACCGAAAAGCGATTATCACCTTAGGGTAGTGATGCTCTCCTCTCCTCACAGCTGTACATTCGTGACTATCGGAACATGATGAACGAAGATGAATAGGCAGGGTAGTCCAA